GATGCTGGTTGGCTGGGGTTCTCCTCTCCCTATCCCCATCCCTTCTTCTGATCAGGATGCCTTTCTGTGGACCAAATCTAATAGATCACTTCTTCTGTGACTATGCACCACTTATTCAGCTGTCCTGCACTGACACACGCTTCCTTTTGGTCCTGGAGACTATCCTTGGCATACTAGTGCAGTTCAGCTCCTTGGCTTTCACACTTGGATCTTACACATACATAATCACTGCCATCCTGCGCATCCCCTCAGCTACAGGCAGACAGAAGGCTTTCTCCACCTGTGCCTCTCACTTTACCGTGGCCTCCATTTTCTATGGCAGTGCCATCTTCATGTATTGCCTGCCCAGCCAGGGACGTTCCCCTGATGTCCAGAAGGCAGTGGCAATGCTAACAATAGTGGTCACACCACCCCTGAACCCTTTCATCTACAGCCTGAGGAATGAAAAGGTCAAGAACGCCTTGAGAGACTGTGTGAGGAAGAAAATATTTCCTTTTTAAGAATCTGAGCACTGGACATAGCTACTGCACAATGACTGAAGAGCAACTGAATTTCATTTTCTTCAGAGCACGGTCGGTTTTATGGCAATAGTGCTTCAGTCACCTTTTTTAAATCTCCTGTGCTGTGCTTTCCCTATTGTATCTCCTGGTGCAAGTTTGTATATGTATGGTTATCAGGACTCATAGTAGAGATGATATCTTTTATTAGACCAACAAGATTTTTGCAAAAAAAAATTCTGTAATTGCAAGCTTTTGGGTACAAACACCCTTCATCAGGTATTGGAGAAAAGAGTGTAAAAGTTCTCCTGGGTAGAAATGAAAGTTAATATTTCATAGGATTTCACAGAGGAGTCAATATAGTTCTCACTCTTAGTCTGCAACCTGAATGCATTCCCATAAGCATTTCCGAATATGCAGTTTATTAAGAAAACTCTTGTTAATTTGATATATATTCATATTTTGTTTCAGAATATCCCACCAAATAAATATCTGGAAAATTTCAGTAGCATTGTAAAAAAAGAAAAAAAAGATTTTTGTTCAGAATAGGATATACTTTTCTCCTGTTGTTTTACTCTGGATTGATTTTTTATTTTTTTTGGCTGCATATTCATAACAGATGACCTTTTAATTAGCAGAGTCAGTGCTTATTTTTTACCAATTGTTTTATTTCAGTCAAGAGGCAAACAGATAAAATTTTAGATTTTTCCCCTGCGTGAGAGGCAGAGAAGCAGCAGTGGGTCAGCAATGAGAGGGTTGAATATGGGAAGCATGTTTCTGGCTGCACAGGACACAGGTGTGAATGGACGTTATGAAACATAAGAACATAAAATGTGCCATACTGGGTCAGATCAATGATCCATCTAACCAAGTATCCTGTCTTCAACAGTGGCAGGAGTGGATACATTAGAGGGAAAGCACTGAACCAGATATTTCTATAATGATCTATCCTCTATGGTCTATCCCCTATGATCATTTCTATAATGATCTATCCATTTACTGGTTTAGAGATGCCAGAGGAAACTTCTCCAACAACTCTATTCAGTACCCATTAATAGATCTATCACCTATGTATTTATCCAGTCCTTTTTGGAACCTGGCTATGCTATGCCTCCACCACCGTCTGTGGCAATGAATTCCACATTACATAAAAAGTAATAAAAATTGCATTAAAAATAATTTATTGTGTTAAGAGAAGGTGCTTGTTAAGGGTAAGTACTAAGGAAGACTGGGAAACAATTTGGATATAGGGAGATGGTCTCCTAACTGAGACACAGGGAAGTGTGTGTGTGCGCGCACGGGTGTGTGTGCGCGCGCACACGTGTGTGTGTGTGTGTGTGTATGTTGGCGGGGGGGGTTAAAGTTTTTGCCATGCCATCTCAAGAGTCTGTTTTTCTTTCACACCTTGTGGGTTACATTGCTGCCCTGAGCCTTCTTTGGATAGGGTGTTATATAAAAATAATATCTTTAAAATAGCTGTTGTTCTAATAAGTACAGTAGTTGCTTGTTTTCTTTCTTTTCCTGTATTAGAAATATAAGCGTTACTAGACTACAAAAGAAGGCATGTCCAAGAGAAAATATTTCCATAAGTATTAAGTAAATTGAATTAAAAAAATAGTGGAGTATTCCAGCTGTTGTATTACACCATATTATATGTCAGTTAATACATCATAGGAGATCAGCCAAATCATATTATGCTGTTTTACTACTACAGTATGTTGCATTGTGAAACATTCAGAAGTATACATTGGTGACATGTTGACGGGGCAGGGGAGGGCACATGCCACCCCCAGATTAATGTGCCAATGGTGGGATGAAGGGCCTGGGGCTGCAACCTGGCTGGAGACAGTGTCTGGCAGCAGTAGGGATGGTGGTGGCGTGGAGTTGTGCCTTCCCAATCAGCACTTATTATGCATCATCTATGCAAGTATATGAAAATGAAAGGGCTCTCTGTAACATCCTGTCGTGTTAAACTTAAATCAGGAAGAAGGCGGGACATGCTGGCACCTTTAAGATGTAACTCATGCAGAAGTATATAAAAATGAAACAAAGGCTATTTTTAATATTTCAACATATTTTAATGTCTATAGCTGTGAGATATTTGAATGTATTTGCTGGATGTGCACATGAGAATCTATGCTTTATTTTTGCTTGTTGAATCTGCTGATAGCAATTAATTCATAATTTTACTTTATGTATAAAATATATTCCATGCTGGCCAGGAGGACAGCACTGTTGCTCACAGTGGTGCTTTGAGTAATTTTATTTCTGAACGAACTTGGAAAAATGCAACAATATAGCTTTCCATCTTCAATAGACTTCTGAACTTCAGCAATAGGTTTTGAATCAGAAGGTGACAATCCATGGCAAAGTTGAACAAGTTTCTCTAAAATAAATCAAGTGCGTCATGGATGGGCAGACAAAAGAAAGAAAGGAAAGTTCCTGAGAAACAGATATTCAAAAGAGATACAGTAATTAGGTGGTCATTAGGTTTTGATAGAGTTAGTGAGAGGAAAATATGTCTTCCTTGTTCTATCTTCTTTCCTTCCTTTATTCTACACAGTAAAAATAAATAATAAAATAGATATACTGTTGTTTGCAGAAGCTTTTTGGAAGTCAGCCACAGGAAAAAATAAATTGTGCTTTTAGGACTGGACCTTAAGCAATCAAAGCTTAAGGAATCAAAGATATTTAGGTATCCACATTGTCCATGAAGTTTATTGAGACATAACAAAGATTATTGACAAACATACATATTCTGAAGGCAAAATCTCCATCTCATCTTAGGCCTCCCATGCATTTTCTTGCCAGGTGAAAGACCAAGTATACAAATTTCAGAGCCACCAGGCTGCAATCTATGTAATGCTTAAAGAACAGCCCAGGTAACATATTTGCAAAGAAAAAAATGTGAGTGTATTATATCTCTTTTTGTTAGCCATTGTAATCTTTTGTCCATAAAACTTGTGTTTAGAATGATAGAATCACAGAAAATGAGGGTTGGAAGTCCAACCCCCTGCTCAAAACAGGGCCATCCTCAAGAGGACTCTGTATGGTGCCTACCTTGTGGCCTGACGGTTAAAGCACTGTCCTGGGACAGCTAGAGGCTTATAGGATTGTGGGCCTAGTGCATCACTCCAGTCACCATATGAGAGGTCAGCTATTATCTAGTGCCTTCCCTGGCGTTCATGTTGAAAGCGGGTTCACTTGGCAACCATGAGATGGGAGATATGTGGGGACAAGAGGAAGGGAGAAAGTCAGAGGGTGCGTGGGTCTTTGAGGTAGCTCTGGACCTGTAAGGAAAGGGACCTTGGATTCTTGCTCCCCTTAAGACATAAACTTTCCCCATTTATTTCCTTCCATCTGTTTTTCCAGAGACTATATTAGTGGCTCAGTTTCAGAAGGAGAGTCTGCCCTGTAATGTGATGGTTACAGAGTTGGGCTCTGAGTGCCCCTCACCTACAGAGGGTTTGAACCAGTGCCTCTTTTGGTTCATAGCACAAGACCTCCAGCTTTCTAAGTGAATGGCACGGCCACTGAACTGGGGAGGAGGGGGCGAGAAGAGTGGTAGCCCACTCAGAGCACCCTTTTCTGTTCTTGAGGCTATGTTGGGTAGTCATGGGTTCTCAACACCTCCATTTTCATATATCTAAGTGTGTTACACATCCACAAGGGGTGTGCTTAATGTTTCTGAAATGGTCAGAGGAAATACAGATCTTTCCAGATTTTACATACTGAGCTCTACCTATTCGGATGACTTCTGTCTAAGCTATCCCACAAACACCCACAGATCTCTTCCAGTGGCCTTCAGTCCCTACCTATGGCCAAAATGTTATCCCCAGTTTGGGCTCTCAAACACCTTTATCGGTTTCCTTGATGCCCTACTCGCAGATATCAGATTTTCCCCATCGCTGCCCTATTTGGTAGCTAACTCATAAACCACATGTGTAAGGTAGCTAACTCGTAAACCACTGAAGAACTGATTAATTGTATTATTATTATTTTTCTATCTGCCTTTCTTTCCATCTTCTGTCTGTCAGTCTTCCAGCAGTTTCTGATCCTCCAACTTTTTCCAGTTCTTGAATTCCTTTTAGACCATGGTCCTTTGGGAACATCTCTGACACTTTCATTTGTGAGTCCCCTGGGTGTGGTAAGAAGTAAGCACTGAATTTATGTAGCTACAACAGTCATGAAGAATAGAATATAAAACCATGATCTATGCTATGTGTGAAAAGCCAATTTGATGCTGAATGGGTCTTTTTATTTCTTCCTTCCTCCAAATGTTCTTGCTAGCTACTTTCACCTGAACGTCTCTAGTATGGATGAGTAAAGTACAAGGACGCCAACAGTTCTCTCCATTATTACAATTTTAATATTTACATATATATATATACTGTGCTGACTGCTATTGTTGCACCCTCCAGGACATAGGAACAGCCAGCTGCATTCAGATTACCTTCACATCTACATCAACCTACTTTCTGCAAATAGGAATACCAGATGAGAATGAACAACCACAGCAATATGGTGAACGAATTTATCCTTGTGGGCTTTGTCTTGCCCTGGTTCCAGGAGATGCTTTTATTTGTACTGCTGCTGGTTATCTTCCTTTTGACTGTCACGGGGAACCTCCTCATCATCACGCTGGTATGTGCCGACCATCAGTTCCACACCCCTATGTACTTCTTTCTCTGCAATCTCTCCATCCTGGAGATCCTCTTCATCCTTTGTGTCACACCAGAGATGTTGCAGAACTTGCTATCCCATGGCATAGTGATCTCTTTCTGGGGCTGTGTTGCTCAGACCTACTTTTATTTCTTCCTTGGCACCACTGAGCTATTTCTCATTGCTGCCATGTCCTTTGACCGCTACACTGCCATCTGCTACCCACTCCACTATTCTATGATAATGAGTGGATGGCTCTGTGCCCTTCTCGTGCTGAGCAGCTGGGTGGGTGGGTCTCTCTTCCCCCTTTTCCCTCTTATCCTGATGATCAGGTTGCCTTTCTGTGGACCTAACAAAATAAACCATTTCTTCTGTGACTATGCTCCACTAGTTCAGCTATCCTGCACAGACACGCGCCAGCTATTGGCTGTGGAGTCTGCCTTCTGCTCTGTGGTGCTGTTCAGCTCTCTGACTGTCACTCTGGTTTCTTACACATACATCATCATCACCATCCTCCGCATCCCCTCGGCCACCGGAAGGCAGAAGGCTTTCTCCACCTGTGCCTCTCACATCACCGTGGCTTCCATCTTCTATGGCAGCACCATCTTCATGTACTCCTTGCCCAGCCAAGAGCGCTCCCCTACAGTCCAGAAGGCAGTGGCCATGCTAACATCGGTGCTTACACCATTGCTGAACCCTTTCATTTATACCCTGAAGAATCAAAAGGTAAAGGAAGCCCTGCGGACATCCCTGAGGAAGGGGATATTCAAACCCTAATACTCTGAGCTCTAAACACTGCCCTTGGTAATATCTAAGGGGTCCTTTGGCATTATTGTATCATGAGCGTGAGCATATCATGAGCATACAGTATATGTGGTAAGTGCATCACTATCCCCTGTTTGTGTCCTGCAAAATTATCTACCTCCAATGTTGGGATTCATGTCCTTCCTTGTGTGAGGCTAATTTTTGCACTTGAAGACTCAATCCAGAGATCACTGCATTTAAAGCAGACCTCCCAGTTCACAAGACAAGTCATCGTGTTGAGATTTTTCTTCCTATTCCATTTCTAGATTTTTTTTCCCCTGGAAGATGTTTCCTAATATTCTGTTTTTACTGGGTAATGTGGTTTTTCAAAAATATATTTAAGTTTTGCACAGAGAAGTAGGGGTTTTTTTCATTAACATCTTAGATTTTTACCTTGAGTAGTTAAAATTCTACTCTTTTAATGTGTACAGTGCATGCTTTTTTTCCAGTGTCTTGTGCCAACGTATTAGTTTATTTTATTAGGACACAATCAAGCCTGCTGATCTAAGTAATCCCTTGTGTACTATGTACTATTTCCTATGGGTTATGAAAACATAATACAATAAATATTGGAAGAGAATTCTTCAACCGTAAGATTACATGATACAATTTTTAAGAGGTAGTAATGAAGATAGGATATAACTCACTATATTATGTTGTAAAATAGGATATCCTTAGTAGTAGTGCATAATATAAATATGTCATGATGTAACACATGATATGACACTCTAATATAACTTCTCTTTTTTAAATGAGTAACATATTTCAAAATGTTTGCTTCTGAAAAGATTTGACAAATGAAAAATGGCTTGTTTTAAAAATCTAAATGTGTTCAATGTGTAAATGTTTTAAAATGTAAATGTCTAAAATTTCATTGAAATGAAGTAGAATTCACCACTCCCCTTCCCCCGCTATATATTAGAGGGCTTTCTCCAAGGATTTTGACCAGAACATTTCTACCAGCTCTGAATGACTTGTGTTATCAGCTTTGGGCCTGACTGGGCATATCTACACGTTATATTAATGTGATGCAATAAACTCTGGTACAGTTCTCACCAGAATGTATTGCTCCAAGGTGCAGCATATGAACATGTACCTGGGACTGCTGCACATTGAGCTGGGGCAGCACAGCCTTACCTAGCAGTGGGCCGAGAGGATCAGCCTGCAACTACCCTCCACCCCAGCTCAACATGCCATGGAGGGGCTCACTAAGGCATGAGGTTGCTTCGGCGTGGGGCTAGCTGGCAGGCGGCCCCCACACTGTAGCACCCTCGTGCCCCAGCCAGCCCCAGTAACCACCTATATGTGCACTGCAGTACAGTAAATAACTCTGCCATAGGATAGCACTTGTGTTGGGCAGTACTATCCTATGGTGGAATTAATTAATTTACTCTGGCCTAATAGGGGCATACGTGTAGATGGTGACACTTTACTGTGCAGTTAATTAGTCAACTCTGCAGTGAAACATCACATGTAGATGCACCCACTGGGATACAGGAACAGGGATTTTTTTCCCCTTCTGAACACCATCACCTGAAATTCTGAACAAAAGCATTTACCTAAAAGCATTGTTATTTAAATAATGAACTAGTGGGAGTGGGGGAGAGAATTTTTGAAGTCATAAACAACTTGTCCCTGTGTTTAGTTCAATCTGATCTGAGATAGGTGTTATAGGAGCAGAAGGTGCTAACAGTTTGCACCTGATACTTGCAAAGGATTTAGGTGCATGTCCAGTTAACAAGAAATCAAAACAAGAAATCAGTAAGAAACTACCTATTCATGTTTGTGCAGCAGAACCAAAGAGTCCCATAAAAGGTCATGAAGCAATGGCTTCAGCCAAGTACATTTAGAATAGACATTTGAAAAAAAATCTTCCTTACTGTTAGAAAAGCATAGTTATGGATTACGTGGCCCAGGGAACGGTGGAATTTCGTTCACTGGAGGTTATCAAGAAGAGTTGTGATAAGCATTTTTCAGGGACAATTTAGGAGTAACGAGCCTGCTTCCTTGCAGGGGGTTGTATAATTTTCCAGTACATCTAAGCACCTCCTTCCTAGGGGAGAGAAAAATATGGCTTAATGGTAAAAGTGCTGGCTTGGATCCTTGAAATCCACTAGCATCCTGCATGACCTCAAAGAAAAAAACTTGATTTCCTTCTGTGGACCCCCCCCATGGGGGAAGTGTTGCGACTTCCACCAGATTACTTGTAAAATGCAGCACTATAAGTAGCAACATTATGTTTGTGTGATGGAAACAAGTGAATAACTTTCCAGTGATTGAAATCAGTTGGGGTGAGATGTCTAAATTACTTTTCCAAACCAGTTCCAAACCAGTCATCTGAACTTAGGTGGAACTTAGACATGTAAATCAGAGAAAATGGTCCAGATCAACTTGATTTCATTAGCCCCAAAACCATGTAAGTACCCAAATTCATTCGGTTATACATTTAGTCTCAGTCTGAGTATCCAGTCTGAGCTAGAGCCCGTTTCCAGAAAGGAGCTAATAAACCTTCTAATAATAAAATAAATAAATAATAATTTATTTCATTAAATAATAATAAACCCACTTAAAATTCTCAGAGGTTCACAGTCCATTAGGTACCTCCAGAGCATTGTTTGGGGTTCAAATCCCCCACTGTGTTCAGTATTTCCTATGGCACAATCCAAGAACCCCAGACTGTGGAATGAGCTCCCTCCAGAGGTGGTGCAATCTCCTACCCTGGAAATCTTCAAGAGGAGACTGGACAGTCACCTTGCTGGGGCTACCTGACCCCAGCTGTCTTTCCTGTCTGGTGCAGGGGGCTGGACCCGATGATCTTCCGAGGTCCCTTTCAGCCCCTTACAATCAATGAATCTATGAATCTGATCGGTGCCCAGGGGCTAAAATTCACTCTCAGAGGTTCCTCACTCTCTCCTTTACAGGAAGTCCATACACTTAGTCCTCCCTTTTTGGATCACTCTACCACGGGGCAGAGGCACTCATATTTTAGGTGTAGCAATATTTCAGTCAATGTGGAGATACCTGTAAGTTCTGCCTTGGCACGCTGGTCAAGCATGATTCGAATCTTGCAGTCTTCCTCTATGAAGGGAATTACAAAGAGGATGGATTGTGGGTTTTCTCATAAAGTCTTGATCCCAATAGTACTATTTTCAAGAACATCAAGGCATAGTTAAAAGACTAGGACAAGAGACATAACAACTATTAAGGTCCAATGATGCCTATTTGGTTAACTTTACAGCCATTAAGTTTTGCTGTTGCCACTCTGTCCTAACAAAGAGCCCATGCTCCCCCACATGTAGATGCCTGCTCCCCCCTGCCCCTGGCTCCACCATCCCTCACTGTGAAATATTGTACATGGTGATTTTTGATTGACCCACAGTCTTTTGGTCATACTTCTTGAAGTCAGTCCAGGCTGAGCTTTTGATGAGGACAACCCCACCGTTTTGACACCAGGGCTTTTGGTAACAGCAT